CTGACCCCATTCACCACAGCCCTGCATATTCAATATTTACTTATTTACAACATTTGTAGACTGCCTAACTGTAAACTCTGAGCAATGTACATCAGAGCCAGAAAAGCATAAAAGAACAGAAATAAAAAAATAATAGACATACAAAGATGGAATGCTCATAGTCAGTCAGGGCCAAAGGCATGGGGAAATAAGGATATTTTCATAGTTTTGCAAAATGCAAGGAGAAAGGATACCTTATGTATTCCTGTGCATATTCCAGGGAAAGCATATGCCGGTGCATGGGACTACTACAGAGAAGGCATCCATCTGACCCAAGTCTAGTACAGTTCCCACTTGTGTGGGGAGAAACTCTCAGCAGGCCTTCCTTCCTGAGATTTTCAAGCTGAATGGCTAGAATTAATTTTGACAAGGCAGTGCCTGATGTAAGCTAGTGCTACACTATATAGGACTTTGCAAGTGATAACCAGCAGTCTGAATAGGGCCCAGAAGCCTCTTAGAAATTAGTGCAGCAACCTCAAAATTGGTGCTACCTTGCCATGGCAGGGTTGCCCCACCATCAGTCTGGGCGCTGCATTCTGGATCAGTCACAGCTTCAAGGTCGTCTCCAATAGCTGTCCCACCTAAAGAACATTGCAGTAGTTCAACTGTGTGATGATCCAGACATAAGTCATCTCCACAGCAACCCCTAGTCCAGTTAGGGTAGTAACTGGCTAGAGTTGAGCAATACCCACCCTGGCTACTGCTTTATCATGCTGTTTAGACAGGAGCTGTGAGTCTAGGCGGACCCCAGATCAGAGTTATCAGTTTGTCACAGTATTTATTGTTGAAAAGCAATTTGGTCTTTGTAGGATTTAATTGGACACTTCATCCTGAACTGATGGATGACCTCTCTCAGTGGCCTCATATAGATGTTAAATAACATAAGAGAGAGCACCAAACCCTGTAGCAGCTCACATTGGATCAACCAAGGACTTGAGTGTTGCTCCCCCCTGACTATCAATTGAAACTATCAACTTAGATAGGAATGGAACTATATAAATGGTGCTCCTAACTCCCAACCGTTGGTCCAGCAGGATACCATAGTTGATGATATCAGTCACCACCAAATGTATAAACAGAGCTGATAATCTCATTGAAGAGCCAAAATAAATTGAACCAAAGGTCTGTCTAGCCCAGAATTTTGTTCCCAAGTGGCCAGAAGCACACCACTGGAAAGTCCATATACAACATAAAAACATAATAGCACCTTCCCAGAATTAAGAGAAATATACTGCTTCTGATATTGGAGATGCAAATAGCTACCATGGCTAGTATCCACTGAGAACCTTATCTTTTCTTAATTAATGCCAAACAAAATCAT